AGAAAGATCAAATATTCATAAAATCAGAAATAATTTTAAAAGTCATAATTCACCCCCCCCCCCCCCCCCTCCCCCCCTCCCTCCCTTTTAGGCGCATTATTAACTTACAAAATGATCCTTATTTTCAGCAGGAAGTTAACCGGTCATTTCCCATGGAAGTTATGAGTTGTTTGGGTTCAAAGGTCTCTCCTCGGTGAACTGTAATTTATTTTTGCAGTTTTCACCCTAAAGTCCACCTTTCAGTGTCATCCCTCCTCGGAGTTGACATGTTCAAGTTGCAATCTTGTTTCGCAGTTTATACTTGTTGGTTATTGGTTCCAATGGTTGTTCCTTATTGAAATCCAGTTTCCCAAGAATGATTTCTCAAATGCTCCTAGTTTTCTAAGCAAGTCATTCGTGATATTTTCATTCCTTAGCGAATCATTTAAACATTGCATCATTAGCATTGCATCTACCCCAAAAGTAAAATAATTCAAACATGCATTGAAGCATAAGCTTATTTTGGTTGATTACCTGCATTTCTTGCAGACTTTATCTCCAGTAGTGATTGTTTACCTTAGATTATGATGTTTATCTTCGGGTTGTTGTCACCTTTCGTGTGATCCTGGTGGTATTCTTGGGTTGAATCCAGTATGACTGTTTTTATTTTGACTTCTGCCCTTTATTGTCTTTTGACAATTTTGTTGGTATTCCCCAGTTAAGTTTGACTTAGTTCGGATAATCCCCGGTTGGGTCCCTTTGGTTGGTCTCTTCTTGCCCTCTGTTTTCTTTCTGTCCGCTTGGTTGGCATTCCTTGGTTAGGTCTTTATTTACCATTCCTCACCTCAGATATTCCCCGGTAGAGTCTCTATTGGGTTATTCCCCTTAGAGTCTTGTGTGACTATTTATCTCTGATATAGGTTATGCTTATTCGGTCCCTTATCTTTGGTTTACATTCTTAGTCGGGTTCTCCTTTCGTTAGCTAGAAAATATTGGTTAGGTTATGCTTAGTCATTTCCTCTTTGTTGGGTAGGTTATGCTTAGTCGGTCCCTTATCTTTGGTTTACCTGCTTAGTCAGGTTCTCCTTCCATTAGCTTAGATAACATTGTTTGGTTAGGTTATGCTTAGTCATTTCCTCTCCTTTGGGTAGGTTCTGCTTAGTCGGTCACTTATCTTTGGCTTACCTGCTTAGTCGGGTTCTCCTTCCGTTATATTAGCTAACATTGTTTGGTTAGGTTATGCTTAGTCATTTCCTCTCTTTTGAGTAGGTTATGCTTAGTCGGTCTCTTATCTTTGGTTTACCTGTTTAGTCGGGTTCTCCTTCCGTTAGCTTAGCTAACATTGTTTGGTTAGGTTTTGTTTAGTCAGTTCCTCTCCTTTGGGTAGGTTCTGCTTAGTCGGGTTCTTCTTTCGTTAGCTTAGCTAACATTGTTTGGTTAGGTTATGCTTAGTTATTTTCTCTCCTTTGGATCTTTGAGAATGGTTTCCTTTGCAACCTCCCTTTTCTCACCAAGCTAGGAAAGAAGAAGGTAAAAATGACCCCGAGAGATGTTGAACCTGGCTCATCCATACATGACATTAGAAGAGAACTTGAATACTCGCTTCGACAACCCAACCTCGATCGCCCATGCATGTTTCGACCGCCTATCAAGGAAGGAATCCAGTCGGTGAAAAGAAGACATTGACAGGGAGATGTATGGTTGATTCAAAAAGTATGCACCTTTAAATACTTTCTAAGATAAGATTTACCAATAATGCGCTAACACTAAATTCTGGAAAGCCAAATCTTATCTCCAAAGACCAAGTTCCCTTTAAAGGCTTCTAAATCAAGTCCCAACGATGAAAGAATAGAAACCGACAATATCTTTTTATTTTTCAAACTGCATAAGGAAAATTATGCATGTTTTATAATTTGCATAAGCATATATCTTTTAAATTTTATAGTGAAATATTTTGTAGAGCATACTCCCTCCATTTCACAATGACTGATCCATTTGAAATAAAATAGTGTCCCAAAATAAATGATTCATTTCAATACACTTTTTCCAATTCTACCATTTAATTAATTAAACTTTCATCGTTTACAATATATGATTAGGGGTATCTTTAATTAATTAAACTTTCATCATTTCTAATATATGATTAGGAGTACTATAGTAAAAAATTACTTTCTCTCTTACTTTTCTATATTTTTCTTAATATGTGTGAAATGGTGGGCTAAGTCACTCATTGTAGGATAGAGAAAGTATTTGATTATTTTCGTAGACCTCTGTTTAAGAAATTCTCTAGATTAGTCATAGCACACCGCGCGCTCACGGACATAGGTAACTGAGAAGTGTCTAAGTAAGACTGATGTATACTACATGATACTCTTTTTGTCCCATAATAAGTGATAAAGCTCATCATTTCACACATATTAAAAAAAATGTAGAAAAGTAAGAGAGAGAATAATATTTTTATTATAATATCTTTAATCATGTATTGACAATAATAAAAATTTAATTAATTAAAAGATAAAATTAAAAAAATATATTAAAAATTGAAATAAATTATTTGGACGCTATTTTATTTCAAATAGATGACTAATGGAGAGAGGACATAAGTGTGAGATGTGAGTAGTGCAAGTTTTGAATTTCAATAAACTCCACATTGAGTGTTCCAAAGCCACTGCACCGTTGATAATTTCATAGGGGTCGTTTTGGACGCATGTGGCCTTGTAAACGTTAGGGTCCTCGTTCCCAAATTATGTCTTTTTGTTGGGTCATGGGTGAGAGATTCACTTTGGTGGTCCGTGCAAATGTTGAAGATAGAAGCTTGATTTTAGGTCCGTCTTATGGATTGAATATCTACTTCAATTAATCTTTCAGCCGTGTGTGTAGTAGACAAATGGCATAGATAAGTACATTTCGTAATTAGTGCAACACTATTTAGTGTATGTATTGTTTGAAATCACGCTAGATTATTAGAAAAATGCGCGTTTTCTTAACACACTAAATTTCAGCTTCAGTATTTTCACGTTTTCATACTCTAGAATTTGGAGTAGACGTGCTTTTTTATTATTATAGTTGAACCAAATCAATTATAGAAATGTATATATTTCTTCTAAAAAATAGAGAGGATCTCTACTTTTTTTTCTTACCTCGTCCATTGGTGGGAGGTGATTGATTTTTGTGTTATTATTTTTGTAATAAAATTATCCGTTGATTTGAATTAATGTTTTAAAAATTAGACTCAAAGTTAAACCGTCAAGATTTTCAATTTAAAATTTAATTGTTTCAGTCATTTAAATCTAAATTTAAAATTTAATTGTTTCAGTCATTTAAATCTATTATGAAACTGTTTATTAAATAAATTAACAATATAAAGTTAAGTTTAATGAATAAGTCACATAATAATAAATTAATAAAATAAATATTTTAAAAAAATTTATTACAAACTTAATATTATAAGATCAATAATAAATATGATTATATAATATAATGATACACTTAAACAAATAAAACTATAATATATTATTATAAATTAAAAAATATGTTACTCTTTTGTGTTAAAGAAAAACAATTTACAAAGAAAAAATGTTTTAAATATTAATGAACATAATAATTATTTACAACTTTTTTTATGAAAAAATTAAAATTGATCAATCAATCGTATTTTATTCTTTGGTTCGAACGATTTTAAACGGTTCAATCGATTTTATTTTAATTTTGACTCACATGTGATTTTACAAGCCTGATCAGACTGGAGTAACCTCTGATTTTCAATCCAACCGATTGAATCGGACAGGTCGATCTAATTTTTAAAATATTGATTTAAATTTCCTACATTTTATTTCTCGTCATGTAGTAGCATTTATTTTCGTCTTGTTCCAGTGTTTGGTCGTCAAAAAAATCTTTAATCAATCACATATTCCGGCGTTAATTTTGGTTGATTCATATTTTTTATATTTCAACTAATATTCTAACAAACTTAGGTGAATAATGTATAGTACTATAAAACTAAACAGATTGAACGAGTTGCATGAATCAGTCAAGTAGTACTCACATAACTACCACACGTAAAAGAAACGTTTGTCTAACAAAAGAAATTTGATGTTGGCAATTATTTTATGTACAAGTGAAAACAATACAGCTGGCATAATTATTTAGTAAAAAAAAGTGTTTTGTAAGGAAAAAAAATTACTACTATAACCCCGTTCATTGTTAATTTCAGAACTACAAGTAGTCGATTTTAAATTGATTTTCTTATATCTTTAAATATAGAAAAAAATTTAATATAGAAAAATATAACTTCGTTGATCATAGTTAATTATAAATTGATTTTCATGTTATAATATTATAATATAGAAAATATAAATATGAGCAAGAGCATTATAAAAGAGATTTTAATAAATAAATTGTACACATACAATACATCACAACTAACAACTATTTATGAATACTTTAAAAATTTAATTAATAAATATTGACAGTGTTTACACTATTATTAAATCGTGATCATTAAATATTTTTTATATTTTTAATTTTATTATTATTATTTATAATTTAATATTTGTAAATAGTTATGATCCACTGACTGTGTTAATGCATAATAATAAATCCCTTAAAATAAAAATCAAATATATCGAGAGTGGATAATAATTAATCTCTTAACCTCTTAACGTAAAAATCAAATAGTAATTTACATTATCAGTATATTTTAATTAAATTCTAATAAAAAATAATAATGGAGGAAAGTTTAAAAATGGAGATGTGAAAGAAATATTGAAAAATGACCACGCGGGGCAAGACAGTAAATATGATCGCCATCGTCATCAACTTAGACTTTTACAAGAAAAATGACCACGCGGAAAAGATTAAGCCTAATTAAAGTATCTCAAATCTAAAGATAGGGGATTAAGGGATTATAATAAGATAATAAAAAAAACAAATTGCCATCATCAAACTAACAAAAAAGAGAGACGCCATGGTTGGTCGGTTGAAGGGCAGTGGCGGCGGCAATGATGGACGGTGCTCTTCAATTACCAAAACTTGAAGAGGAGACCACCGTGGGTTGCAAAGAAAGGAGCAAACACCAGTGACTCAACTGCCATCAGTTTGATAAGGATGTTAAGTGAAGGTCCAGATGTATCCTTCAATGGGTCTCCAATGGTGTCACCAATAACTGCTGCCTTGTGTGGGTCTGACCCTTTTGGACCAAGAGTTCTTGCATGCTCTGAGGCACCAGCCTGTTTTTGTTCATTTCAAACAATCAAATAGAGATCAATATTTAATTAACATCTACAGTACCTTAATATAATAGCATCCATATCATATAGTATCATACAGCTCAATCTATTTAATAAAATAGAATTTACCTCGATGTATTTCTTGGCATTATCCCAAGCACCGCCAGTGTTGGATGCAGAGATGGCAATCTGTAATCAATACAACAATTCACAGTTCATGAATTAATATTAATAACACTGGATTGATTGTATTACAAGCAGCAGACAATAAAATGAGGTGGGTGGGTACCAAACATTAATTACCTGTACACCAGAAACCAAAGATCCAGCAAGGACACCAGATAGTGTTTCAACACCAAAAAAGATCCCAACAATAAGGGGTGTTAGCATAACAAGGGCACCTGGTGGGATCATTTCTTTGATGGAAGCGTCGGTGGAGATGGTAACACATGTGGCGTAGTCAGGTTTGGCAGTTCCCTCCATCAATCCAGGAATGGTGTTGAATTGCCTGCGGACTTCCTCAACCATCTTCAACGCTGCACTTCCAACACTCTTCATGGTCATGGCAGAAAACCAGTAAGGGAGCATAGCACCGACAAGCAGACCAATGAAAACCTTGGGAGTCAGGACATCAACTGTTGTGATACCAGCACGGCTCACAAAGGCACCAAAAAGGGCAAGAGACACAAGGGCGGCTGAACCAATAGCAAAACCCTACAACATAGTAAAACATCATATATCAGGAACATGAATAAAATAGATTGAACAAGCTGAACAGAAAAAAAGAGGAAAACCAAACCTTTCCAATGGCAGCAGTTGTGTTTCCTGCAGCATCAAGAGCATCGGTTCTCTCACGGATTCTGTGACTCATTCCAGCCATCTCAGCAATACCTCCGGCATTGTCACTGATTGGACCGTATGCATCAATGGCTAATCCCGTTGCAATAGTACTCAACATCCCAAGTGCAGCTACAGCAACACCGTACATGGCAGCAAAACTGAAACTAACAAAAATACTAATTGCAATGGCAAAAATTGGAATGATAACAGACTTGTATCCCAAGGCAAGGCCAAAGATAACATTGGTAGCAGCACCAGTCCTGCAGGAATCAGCAACATCTTGCACAGGGCTGCAAAAACCAGAAAGAAAACGCAAATCCTGTTAATATCTAATCAATTAGATGAATGAAGGTGAATATGTATAATATGATCCATAATTGCTTACCTGTATGCATTACTGGTATAGTATTCAGTAACAAATCCAATGATAAGCCCTGCCCAAAGACCAACAGAAACACACAAGAATAGCTGCCTGCAAAAGACAAAATACATCCAGTGAGCACTAAGATGTTCAAAATCTATCATTCAAATCATTATTTAGTAAATAGACCGGAACCCTAGCGATAAGTTGTGAAACTAACCAGTTCTTGACTACTTTTTGCTCTCCAAAATTGAAGATGGTGAAGGTAGATGGGAGTGCTATCCAACTAACAATTGCAATTCCAATAGTCATCAGTACTGTTGAAATAACAAGCTGTTTTTTCAATGCTGGCTCAATTTCCTTTACAAGCTTGATCTCAAAAAAGTCAGTTGCAAATAAGGTGGTGAGCAAACAAACAAGGAGGCCCACAGAACTGATGATGAGAGGGAACAACATGGCAGTGAACTGATGATCTAACCCAAAAGAAGAGATGGAAGCAACAACAAGGGCAGCACAAGATGCCTCTGCATATGAACCAAATAGATCGGATCCCATACCAGCAATATCCCCAACATTGTCACCAACATTATCAGCAATAACCTGAATACACAAGTATTCATACAGATATAAGCAAAAGATACAAAAAAACAAGGAAACTGGTTTAAGGATGAAATTTCCTTACAGCAGGATTCCTTGGATCATCCTCAGGAATGTTTCTTTCAACTTTGCCAACAAGATCAGCACCAACATCAGCAGCCTTAGTGTAGATACCTCCACCAACTCTTCCAAACAAAGCCATAGAAGAACCACCAAGACCATAACCAGTGATAGCCTCAAAAAGACCACCCCAGTCATCACCATAGTAAATCTTGAACAGGTTGATGGTAATGTAAAGAACCAAAAGACCATTGGCAGCAAGGAGAAATCCCATAACTGCACCTGATCTGAATGCGGTAATGAAAGCTTTTCCAACACTCTTTCTTGCCTCCAAGGTGGTTCTTGCATTGGCATAGGTGGCAATTTTCATTCCAAGGAAACCAGAAATAACTGACGTGATCCCACCAAGCACAAAAGATATGGTGCTGAAAAGGGCTGTGGCAAGAGCCGGCTTACACATCTTAGTTTTATCATAAGTGCAAGGCTGATGGCTTGTGCTGAATCCTTCCACAGAACCAAGGAAAAGGAATATCAAGATGGCAAAAGCCACCATGAAGACTCCCACATACTTGTACATAGTGAAAAGAAAAGATGTGGATCCTGTTAAGATTCAAACACCCATAAGTTAGTGAACAGTTCTTTTAACAAAAAAAAAAACCTTAACATGTACAAAACTTTGGAAGAGTCCAACAACGGTAATAGCTCATTTTGATTCAATAAAAGCAGAAAAGTGAGAACAAAGGTGATAAAATAGTATTATTAATAAATTCAAAACTTTAGGATGCAAATTAGAGTTACTATAGAAAAAATATTGCAATTTTTTTTGTAAATAACAGACAGAGATCATCAAATTCAAACAACTCGCATCATTTGGAGATCGCTCAACCCTTTTCGGTATATCAACAACCAAGTATATAAGCAAAACATATACTGCTCAAAACTATAGATCAGAGCCAAGTCCATAGAGTATTCAAACATAAAAAAACATGACATTCCAACACTGCATGGATTATTTTTAACCAAAGGCTAAAGTAAAACAAAGCGGCAACAAAAAAATAACCTTGATTGCGAAACACTAATTCACAATAAGATTTGGACGTGTGGGTCCAAATTTAACAACCAACATCATCTTTTAATAATAAAAAAAAAATCAAGAACTGTTCAAATCATGCTCCAGACAATCTACCACGTTAAATAATCTACAGGATTTCATATCAGAAAAACCAAAAAACAACAACACAAACAAAGCATAACGAAACAAAAAAAAAACTATTTTTACAAACTGAATACAAAATAGCTTGAAATTTAAAACATAAATCGCCAGATTTCGCAGCCAAAACACAGATCCACAACATATAAGTAACAAGATCTAGCTCACAAAATTCAAAAATGACTTTTTTTTAAATAAATTGAGGGAAAAACTAAAAAAAAAAAATTTCCAGATAGATCTCAAAATCCCAATAAAAACATGATGAGAGAGAGTAAGAGTAAGAGTCAGAGAAAAAAAATATACCTTCGGAGATAGCGTTCTGGATTTCAGCACATTTGAGAACAACGTTATGGTCGTTAATCCCCTCCTCTTCCTCGATGAGCGAATCGTTGTACCCATTCTTCCCGGGCGTTTCAGGGACAGTCTCTCTTCCAGCAGTGAGCTTAACCTTAGAAACAAGAAGCCATTGGAAAAGCGCAAAAGCGATTGCGATAACGGCGCAAACAGGAATCAAAATCTCGGTACCGAGATCTGGGAGAATAACTGCTCCCATAGTGAAAACAGAGAACGAAACGATGAGAACGAAAAAAAGAACGGAAATGAAGGAAGAAGAATGAACGAGTGAGAATTGGGAGAAGGGTGAGGAGGGTTTTATATGAGGGAGAGAGAGAAGATAGGGTTGGAGTTGGAATGGGAATGATGACAGATGAGTGAGAGAGAGAGTGTGTGGTTGAGATTAGAAAATTAATTAGGAAGAAATTATTATTATTTTACTATAAGATGGGAATGAATGCGTGTTTGTGTGTAATAATTTGTCAATTTTTTTCCTAATAATTATGCTACTTAATCTCATTTTTAGGTTTTTTTTTCTCATTATTTTTTTACTTTGCTCTCTTTTTCTTTTAATTAAAATCACTTCAGAATTTATCTTTTAACATTTTATACAAATTAATATTATAAAAGTATTATTTCTTAAAGATATGAAAAAAAGATAGCCTCCATTCCAGGAACCTATTAGTAAGAAAAATATTGTTTTAAAATCATTATTATTTTCTACTTTTAATATTTTTTATTTTGATCATTTTTTACTTAATATTATTTATTATTTATATTATTTAAATTTTAATATTCATTATATAAGAAAATGGGTGATAGATTGTTCTGTAAATTAATTTTATATTATCAACTCTAATTTAGATTATTAAAACCAATCATGATCATATATTATAATATATCACTATTTTATTTTAAAAACAATTTGATGATATTACATATATTCATGAAATTCTTTCTATATTACATTTATTTGTTTTTGTTGAAAAGACAAAATGTTATACTATATATATAATTAATTCATTTATTTTGTTGGATCCAAATCCTCTTGTCTTTAAATTTATTAATTAGCAATTAGACATATTTAGTGGATAATATATAAAAAACAATTGAAATGGCGAAATAGAAAATTTTGAAAGCCTAAAATAAATAAAAAAGAGAATTTGAGATTAAAAGTAGTGTGTATTATTTAATAAAAATTTATTATTTAATTATCTTATGCAATTAACTTAAAAAATATTTTAACATGACTTGATAATTTATTTATTTAGTAAGTACATTTTTTCTCCAATAATTTTGCCAATTAATATTAATATACTCATAAATTTGGTTATTTTCAAAGAGAAAATAAAAATTAAACATAAATATATAAGTTCTACAATTATTGCATAAAAAAGTAAATCATTATACAAAGTTTTGATTTTATAAAATGCTCTTAAGTCTTAAATTAGTTTGTAAATGTATATACTTTTGAAAAAGATCTTTTTACTTGGTTAAAATGTTTGATTTTATGTGTTTAACTATTAGAGATGTTCAAATCTAAATCAATTTAAATAAATAATTAAAAATTGATTTAAAAATTTGAAAATTGTAATGAAATTTATTGGATGCGTTTGAATGTCATTTTGTGAAAATCGATCCGTTCAGATTGAATTTTAAATTAATTTTTTAAAATCGATTCAAACCAAACCAAACCGAATATATACATTTTTATACTTATTTATTTTTTATTAATATGATATATTACATGAATTTATTATTTGAGGATAATAATTTTTTTTAATAATATTTATTAGTTTAGTACAATCTATTTATTTTTATCATCTCAACTATAATCATTCAATCTCATTTTGTAATATTAACTTTTAATATACCATATGTTATATATTATACTAAATTTATGATTTATTAATAGTTTTATAATAAATAAAAATATAATGTATAATTTAGATATTTAAAAAACCGATTCAAATTAAATTGTATAAAATTAAATCGAATCGAATTAAATTTTTTAAATATATCATTCAAAACCAAATCAAACTGCAAATAAATATATCTTCAAATCAGATGAGTTTTTTTCTTAAAACTAATCCAAACCGAACCGCAAACCCTTTTAAAAACCACTACTATCAATTAAATCTTTATGTTTGTGTTATGGCCACTAATTATCAATTTAGTTTTCTATTTAACCACTTAAACTAATTTAGTTTTATATTTAACTACTCACTCTCGGATTTAAGCATAACTGAGTAAAAAAAACACCTTAGTCAGAACTTTTATATGAAAGGATTAATATGAATAAAAGACCTTATAAAATCACTTTTTCAAATATTTATACATTTATGGATCAAATTAGAGTGCTTCTTTGGCATTTTACGCATATACAAAAACACATAAGTTAAATAAAATAAAAATCGCATGTTTGGGAAAAACTAATGAAACATACGTACATAAAAATATTATTTTTAAAATTACAATAATGCTTTGTTACTATTATAAACCAAAAAATGATCTTGATTTAGGTTAGTCACCAATTCAAAAATTTAATTTTATCAAAGATTATTGTTTATTATTAGGTTCATTAGATGACATGTCGGAAATAGTAGAAAATTTTCATAACCATAATTTATATATAAGATCTCACGTTAGATTTGAGTTATTCTCTCTAACTCAATTTATTATACTTTTCATTTTTTTAGTAGTTTTGGCGTTGGAGTATTAATTTACAGATTTACCTCGCATCGTCGTATCAGGGATTCTCTTCACTGTATCAAGACTTTACTTCACTGTTCACCAAACATTTCTAGTTTTCTTACGGAACAGTGGCGACGTCTGAGGAAATTTGATTCCTGTGAATTTCCACAATCATATTCCTTATGATCCAAAGTCACGAATCACAACAAGGGTTATGCTCAAACGAATAATATGACTTCTGATCCAATTGCAAAAAAAAACGGCATAGCTTCTCCAACATCCAGATTGTCTCATATCTTCGTTGTTAATTCAATTGGTATCAAATCTTATAGAAATTTACTCAAATCATTATCAGTAGTTCAGAAACAAAGAGAAGATATACATATTATAGGGTTTTAAGACCACAATAAGGTAGATGGAACTCCTAATATAACGTTTCCACTAGTCATAACTATCGTCATAGCCAACCACTTTGTATCGGGGATTCTCGTCAATGATGAGAGCTCATGTTACCAGATGTACCTTAGAGTTTTCATGAGATTTCGAGTGTGCATGAAATATTTGAAGTTATGCGGAGGAGAAAACATTTTAACATTTATTGACTCCTCATCCCGTCTATGTGGAACCATACATATGTCAGTCTCGTTCGAAGAAAAAATAAGAGAACACTGAAAACATGTTTCCTCACCACCCCTTACGAAAACGTCTACAACGGCATCTTTGAAAGATCATTTTTGGCGGCATTAGACGTAGTAGCCTCTACGGTCCATTTGAAGATGAAATATCACAACAATTTGAGTGGTCGTTATTGTGGTCGATTTGCGTGGAGCTCACCTTATACACTGGATGGTATCGAAAGACCCCATTGTGATTACCATCATCTCTAAGAGGCGAAAGAAGAATGTTTGTGAAGCAATTGGCGCGGCCGTCCTTGATGTGCGATAAGACAAAATCCATTAGGATGATCAAGGTAGTTCGTCAGCATGAGTCAATACTAAGACCTTAAGCTTAGTTTTGGATGGCGAGTTTGAAACCACCTGACTAGATGATAACCCAGCACGATTGGTCAGTATAGTTGATGATCTTCCGCCCGTAGTGAAGAAGGAGCTCATTGACAGTCTCAAATCCAACGCTGACCTTTTTGTAATATTTCCCAATAGCATATTAGGCATAAATCCAAGTGTAGTGCCTCGTCAATTGAATATATATTTTTCCTGGTATGTAGTTCAACGAAGAAGGCCGAAATTCCTCGAGAAGGTTGAAGCAACCATGAAGATAATTCATGGATTGCTTGGTCCTAACTTTATTTCTGAGATAAGATACATATAATGGCTCTATAATGTCGTACTAGTCAGAAATACCTCGAGAAAGTCGAGAAAGTGTGTTGATTACATCGGCATCAATTAGTTATGCCATAAAGATTCATACTCACTTCTAAACATAAACAAGTTGGTAGATAATTCAGTCAGTTACAAACTCTTGTCATTCATGGATATGTACTTTGGTTATATCCGTATACCCATGTATGAGTCATATTGGGGGGAAATAGTCTTCATGACTGAGCGAGTCAATTATCAATACAATGTGATTCCCTTTAGCCTGAAGAATGCGGGGGCAACGTACCAGAGGATGATGAACAAAGTCTTCAAGGAAGAGATAGGTGAAACATTGCAAGTTTATATGGATGACGTAATCGTAAAGTCCAGCGAGGAAGGGCTACATGATGAGCACCTCGCTAGCATATTTAAAAGAGTTTAATAGTATAATGTAACCATCCCGATTTTTATTTATTAGTTATTTTACTAGTTATTTATTTTATTAATTATTATATAATACAGTAATTAATTAATTGTGTGATTTGGTGAATATATGTGTTATATGTGTATTGGATTATTGAGTGTGAGAATAACAAAACAATTAATTGGGCCGTATGTGTTACATTAGTGTGAGTGGGTGAGATAAGCCTTTTAGAGTAAAACAATAGTCAGTAAGTGTTTTGTAAAACAAAGAGAGAATAGAGTTAGAAAGAGAAAGTTATCAAAACAAGAGAAGAGGAAAATAGGAGAAATGGGAGAAAAGAGAAGAGAAGGAAAAACCCTAGAAAGGATATACATCCAAGGCAAGGGTGGGTTTTCATTTGATTATGGGAGTATGCGATGTATGTAATGGGTAGTAAACATGATTTAGGGATTTAGATTCTAATTTCTAAGTTTTTGACATGCTTAGGATTTGAATGAGAAATCATGAAATTGATGTTTGAATCATGTTTTGATGTTTGTAATTGAACCTAAATATTATATATTTATAGGTTATAATGCAATTAATTACATGAATATGGTTGTTTGAAATGGGTCTTGTAACCCTAACCTAAAGGTAGAATCCATTTTCACAAGAATTTTTCTGGTTTTAGCAGAGGCCGCTTAGCGCGTCATGGGACTAAAAGTTTTATATTTTGTTTATTTGATTGGGTATCTTTATGCTTATGTTTATCATGGATTATCATGAATTTTAATAATTTATTAAATG